TTGGAGGAAGAAACAATGCAATGGCCTACTTCAGTGCTGAGAAGTTTGAAAGTACGCCTAATCCACCCGGGTTTCCATGGACACATCCGCTCCTGCCATCTGGCATCGAAGGAGTCTGGAAATTTGCTTATTGTTTCAGGGCTGGTTTCCCCTCAGATATTCCTCAGGTCTGACATGCAAGCATAGGCCATTGCTGTGCCAGGGATCAGGTTATCCTGGCCAACACGTGGACAGGGCTCACCCAAAAGCCTATGCTGGTCGTGCATTGGATTCACAGCACCTGCACTGGACTGCACACCATGCTGGACACTGAGGGCACAGTGCTGATGCTCCTGCTTGTTCCATATTCAGGCTGTCAAAAGCACAAACCTTTACACTTGAGACAGTATTCCCATATAACCTGTCCTGTAGCCAGTAGGAAAAAAATCTGTGATAGATGGGTTGACAGGGTTATCACTGTTTTTTCTTCTATTTAGTGACCTCTGTTTTGTATGCACAGGTGTTCAGCAAAATAAAGCCAGGGTTTTGTTTGAATTAGTTTTATTGAAAAGGCAGACATAGTTAATTGGGTATATATTTGAAGGGCTGTCATATTTCTTCTCAGATAGGATTAAAACAGTTCAATCTGCAAACTCTATTTCGTCTGTCAAAGGGAGATAACCAATTCCACAGACTGAAGTTATTAATGATCAACTGAGTGAATTTTATCCATCTTTTTATATCTTGGAAGGACACCTCACTGAAGCTGATTTTGATCAATTTGTAAGCAATGTCACCTTCAATAAATTCCCATCTGACAATAGATAACCCAGTAACAAGCTGGGAAACAGCAATGGTGATGTAAGACCTGGCATCTATTGCAGCCCTTGAACCCAACTGCATCCCCACTGGGTTTTTAGAGCCATGTTAAGGCAAGAGGGGAAAAAAAAAGTAGCATTATACTGGGAAAAAAGCTTTCTTTTCAAATTTGACTCATAAAGATGTTTTTCATTGAGACATGAGAATTACATTGCTTATCATAATTTTTTTCAAAAGAAAAAGGTGGGAGTGCTTTCTTTCTTTCTTTCTTTCTTTCTTTCTTTCTTTCTTTCTTTCTTTCTTTCTTTCTTTCTTTCTTTCTTTCTTTCTTTCTTTCTTTCTTTCTTTCTTTCTTTCTTTTTCTTCCTTCCTTCCTTCCTTCCTTCCTTCCTTCCTTCCTTCCTTCCTTCCTTCCTTCCTTCCTTCCTTCCTTCCTTCCTTCCTTCCTTCCTTCCTTCCTTCCTTCCTTCCTTCCTTCCTTCCTTCCTTCCTTCCTTCCTTCCTTCCTTCCTTCCTTCCTTCCTTCCTTCCTTCCTTCCTTCCTTCCTTCCTTCCTTCCTTCCTTCCTTCCTTCCTTCCTTCCTTCCTTCCTTCCTTCCTTCCTTCCTTCCTTCCTTCCTTCCTTCCTTCCTTCCTTCCTTCCTTCCTTCCTTCCTTCCTTCCTTCCTTCCTTCCTTCCTTCCTTCCTTCCTTCCTTCCTTCCTTCCTTCCTTCCTTCCTTCCTTCCTTCCTTCCTTCCTTCCTTCCTTCCTTCCTTCCTTCCTTCCTTCCTTCCTTCCTTCCTTCCTTCCTTCCTTCCTTCCTTCCTTCCTTTCTTTCCTTTTTTTTTTTTTTTTTTCCTGTCCTTGCCCAGTCTAGCATGCACAATCTTGGAAGTATCTTGGCCATTCGGTTTAAGGATCCTATGTGTGTTCTTCTGAGTAATGTACCATAAATGAATCCTGCAGTGGTTATCTGCCAGCAGCTGATGCCTGGGATATGGCAAAGCACATCTCCTCTATCCATGATGTACTATTCCATCAATGCCAAGGAAGAGGTATAGACACTCACTGGTGGGAAAATAGGCTGCTAGATATTTGCACAGCAAATATCTGTGCTCATAGCTCTAGTATCCAACCAGCTGGAGTGTGCTGCACTCACTGGATAAATGGTTGGCATAAGCCTAATATTCTGGGGAAGGCTCAAGGACAGCTAAAGTGGAAATTCAGAGTTCTAGGAACAGTATCTCCCCGTCCACATCCTTTCTGTACAATCTGCAAGCTATTTTTGGAAGTGGCGATAAGGTGAAGAGGGAGCCAGAGTGAGAGGACTGACTGGTGCATCTGAAGATTATTATTCCCTGTGGCTGCTCCATCCTTCTGGAGTGTGGCCACAGATTGTTCTTGCAGTTGCTGCAAGAAGCAGCTAAAGTCACTTGCTGTGTCACTGTGGTTTGTAGGTATGGTACAGTATCAGCTGTGGTGACCAGATCTGAAAGCTGATTAAAATGCTCCCTGATACTAGCAGCTTGCATCAGGAGGGAGTCATGTGGGTCCATTTTGGGTAGAAATACTTTCTCTGACCACCAGGCTCTCAATTCACATTATGCTCACTTCACTTTTTAGGAAGCACATTAATTAATTTACTGTACAGGGTGAACTGATCTTTGCTGTTTACCTGCCAGCTGATACACAGCAGGATGCAAGGAACAGTCCAAAGTGAGCTGGGATGGCATTTGCTAATGCAGTGTGTCCTTATACTAAAAAACACACTTATTTCCATTAGGTCAAGACAGCTTCCAAGTCTTGGCAGATCAGGAAGGCAGTGCGGCAGTCCTAGGGAGAATGTGCAATTTTTCTTGTTTTCACTCGATTTGTCTTTGCATCTTTTCATTCTTGGAAGTGATCTGCAGGAGTAAGGGCAGTGTCAGGCCACTATGCCAAACATGCTCTCTGCTCTCTTGCCCTTGACTTTGCTGAAGGAGGTTATGTTTGGCAAGAACATAGGCCTTCATTGTAAGTGAACGTGTGGACATACTCGTATTCCTCAAGGTGGTCACTGAGTGTATGCACAAGGATGGAGGTTTCCTGGAACTGCTTCTGATCATAAAAATCATCATTTTCCTTCATTCTTTTGCTTGATGAAAAATGCAGCAAGTCAGCTGGAGGAAAGAGAAGCAGTCTGAGAGATTCTGAGAAAACTTCAATTCCCATATTGCCACAGAATGAGGGGAACAGCTGGCCTATGACTCTCCCTTTGATGCTTTCCTTAAGTGTTATGGTTCAGCTACTTGAGCCTTTGCCAAGAGCTGGATCCTCAATGGAGCAAAACCCTCTTTTAGTCTGCTGCAGGGCTGGAGTGGAGGGTGCTTTGCAAGAGTGCTAGAACTGTCAGAACACCTGTATCATCAGGTTTCATGTTGGAAAACATGTAGCAGGCACCAGAACAACCTGAAAAGAGAGTGGAGGGTACATCTCCTGAGTCACCTTCTTGGCTTTCTGAGCCACTACTCTACTGAATGAAATCCCAGCCCATGTGGCAGTGAGCATTTTTGCTGCCTGATAAGGGTAGGTCAACCACTGCTCCTTGTAAACAGTTAGTAGTTTTATTTCAGAACTAAGATAACTGGTAAACCTGGACTGCTGGGGTGACATTTTAACCTAGTCCTCTGATAGAAGTTTGCCAAAGCTTGATGCTGGGCAAGGCAGAACTTAACCTAGGCTAACCAAGGCTGGTGAAATGGTAGTTAGCTTTCCACATACTGTTATTATGGGAACCAAGTTGCGCTTTTTTTTTTTTTCATGGTTCTTAAAGTAATTTCTGGTTTTCTACCCCTGAGACTTTTCCTTGTCATCTTCACTCCTAGGTGCAGCTCTCCCCCACCTCTCTTCACAGGGGTAGTGCAGCCATGTAAAGGGTCAGAGCACCTTTTGAGGCAACTGAGGAGGCAGAAACCTGAACAGTGCCTAGCAATAGGGTAGTCTGGGCAGGGGGATGCTCCCAGGGACTGCGAATGGGAAGGAGGTAGGGAGAAGCATGACAAGATGGATTCACTGCCTGCAGGATGCAAAGGCTGCATGGCTGTGCTTTGGTGAGAAGGAAACAAAAGTTGAGTGGGAGAATGAAACAACTAGACATTTGACAGAATTGTTAGAGTTTTCCTTGTCAATCTGCTTATTTTCACAAAGCAAAACTACCGTGATCAGACTCGGACAGGGAGCTGGCTGTGCATGAGGAGTCATTCTGTGCAAGCTTTCTGCTTGATCCTTTGCCCAGAAGATCACCCTAAATTCAGAAAGGGCTCTTTTCCTTCTTTTCTACCCTTTACATAGACACTTGATGTGTGCTGATTTTCAACTGATTAATTTTTCTGCGCAGCCTTAAGAACTGCACTGACTTAAGCTTGTGACACAACTTGTTGGCGATTCCTGCGTTACACGGTATTGCAGTTCCCCAACTCCAAGAACTGCCTCGCACCCTTTAGAGGTACCTCGGTCGGTGTCATAGGAGTGCGGAACGCTCGTGTTTCCCAGGCTCCTGAATGGCGGAGTTAGGGTGGTTCGTACCTTTGCAGTGTTTATACTGCGCGCTGCAGCGGTGACCGGTCCCATGCAGACCATCCCAAATATTTTGCCGTGTGCTGCCGCTGTCATGTTCAATGCAGCTGTAGGCAGGCTCCGGAAAGAAGAAGCCCCCACGCTGCCGCGATGATCCGGAGGAGCAGTGGGGGTGCAGTCTCCAGCCCTGCGCTGGACCGCACCTCCTCACCCCGGCCCGTGCAGCACCCCTACGGATGCAGCGGCGCCGGGTCGGCGGGGAAGGGGAGGAGGGGGGAAGCCCCGATTCGTGCGGAGGGAGGAGGAGGGTGGCGGGACGTGGCGCTGCGCGCCGGGACGGTGCCGCGCGGGGGGTGACAGCCGCAGCCCGGCGGGTTGCGGGGGCGGCTCGGGGCCGCCAGGCTGCGCTCTCGGTCCGGCCGCCGCGCCTGCCGCCCTCCCCGGGCGAGCGGGGCTCGGGGCACGGCGGAGCCTCGCCGCGAGCGGGCGGTCCCGGGACGGCGGCGGCACCGGCGGCGGCGGCACCTGCGGCGGCGGGGAGAGGCAGGGCTCGGCGGCCCGCTCCGCGCCCCTCGCCCGGCCCGGCATGACGCGGCGGCGCCCCGGCGGCGGCGGGAGGTGGGTGCCGGCAGCCCTGGCCGCGCTCCTGGCCCTGAGAGGTGAGTGCCGCACGGGCGGAGCGGGGCGCGGCAGCCGCGCTCGGGCATCGCCCCGGGGCCGCGGGGTCGCCGGTGCCGCGGCGGTGCCCGCGCCCGGGGAAGTTTTGATTGCGGTCCCGCCGGTGATGCTCGGGAATGCGGCGGCGGGCGAGTGCTTTTGCAGGCAGGCGTGGGGAAGGAGCGCTGCTCTGCTCGGCTCCTTCTGCTGCCTCCGCTGCACCATCCTCCCTACTATTCTTATATATACATATTTTTTATTTCTTACGGTGCCGTAAAACTTGCTTGAAACTGGGCTTGACGATAGGCTCAGTTGTCTGGGCCTAACCCCTTGGTAAGCTCACCTGTGTGGAAAACTCTGGTCTATCCCTCAGGCCCTGAGGCAGCAGGGAACTTTCCGCAGAGATGGTGACAGGCTGCTCGGAGCCCCCTGTGTCCCCCCCACCCTCTCCTCTGCCTCCTCCTTCCAGGCACACGGCGCACCGCTCCAGCTCCAAGATACGTGCCTGCCCCCGGGGACGCGGAGTCTCCAGCACCTCCCGCCCCCTATAGCCCTGCCGAAATAAGGTGTGTTCCCTGCTCTCGGTGCGGAGAGGAAACAAATTGCACATGACAGATGCTACTCACATCACTTAGCGCATTGCCGGGGAGCACCAGGAGGTGCTGCATTAAGGGCAGCAGAAGAAGCTACCAAGTGCAAGATGTTCAGACTCATCTGTTGATCAGGTGGCAAGGCCTCCTTCCAAGTAATGGTAAACTTTAGAGCAGCCTGCTTAGTTATGGTTTACAGAGGTCCACATGGCAATTTTCTTAAGGTCTTCCCTTTAATGCAGGCACTCGCTAAGCAGTTTTGCAGAGCTCAGCTCAGCAGTGAGCAGCCCACAGCTTTGAGACAGCTGGGCCACCTTCACTGCTGGGAAACTGGGAAACTTGCTGCAAGAGGTCCCTGAGACAGCGAGAGGACAGTAAGAAATGATGGGGTCTCCCATGAGAAGACCAGAGATGTCTCAGCAAGGTCTAGATGAAACCTCCTCACAGTTGAGATCTGGATGGAATCTACTGCTTGGGTGGCTGTGCCTTGCTGTCACTGCCCTGCAAGACATGGCAGGCTTCCCCCTCTACACAGGACTTGGTTAGAAAAAAGTCTTGTGATGGATAAATGAACTTTTCACAAATGCCTCAGCCTGAAATGCACCCTGTATTCCTGTCCTCAGAAAATGTTTGGGAGTCTGAGTCTCGTGCATTAACTGGAAATTGCACCTGCTGACTTCAAAGAGATGAATTATGGAAAAAAAATAAAGTTTACTAGCATTAAGTTGAAAGAAATAATCTCAGTTTTCATACTTTACACTATTGATTTGCTTTTTGTACTTTTCCCAAGTTGGAAAGCAAGTTCAATTATTTTCAGGTTCTCAGTGCTACAGGTTTCTTTGCCTGCAGACATTGCAAAGGTGTAAATGTCTATGAAGTTACTGGACTTGCTCCAGTTAGACGCATATAAGTGGTGAAGTCCTTCTGTTGATGTGATATCACTGCAAAAACATACAACAATGAACAGATATAAGGTTAAAATTGAAGGGGTATTTAATTATCCTTTTAAGCAGAAAGATTGACTTAATATTTACCTTTTTTTTTTTTTTTTTTTTTTTTTTTGGTTGAGGGCACACAGGGATAGTGACATTGGAGAGAACTAGGTGTGAAAATACACTTTTCCATGAAAAATTTATCTGCAATAGTGTAGTGGTTTTTCTTGCAATTTCCTTTAAGACATCATAATTACCTGAAAGAAGCACCTATTTCTCAAGCTTGGCTTTTTTTCATTTTGTCTTAGGAAAAATCTTTAGGAGATGGTGGTAGATGAAAATAGCTGTGGTACACAGTTATTTCTGTGGTACACAGTATGGCCATATTTTCAGTGGTTCTTGAGTATGAAAAGAAAACACTCTAAGGGATAAGGAACAGGAAAGCTGAAATTGGGAGGTTTTTTTTCCTAAACAACACTTGCAGAAGATCAGTAAGTGTTTTTCTGCTCTGGGCTGCCAAGTATGGTTAGGAAGAGTGATTTTTAAATTTTTTTCCTCTTTTTGAGATTTCAGACTGGTTTAGAAGATAGAATAAAAATAAGAGGTCATATGCAAAATGATTCCTAAATTAAAAGTAAGACTTAAAAGTAGGAGGATCTGAAAGAGTATATAATCAGGCAAAATACTTAATGCCAAGAAAATGAAAATTGTTGGGGGGAAAAAAGAACTTGGAGGTAATTTCATCATTCTCACACTTTATACCTACAATAAAATAAAATTAGACTTCATAATGATATTCAAGTCAATTATTATAGTGCCATTTTCTTATGTTGTTTTGCAATTTGTAGAATAACAATTATTCTTTGTAGCTGGTGCTAGTTGCCCATTTTCTGGGCCTACTATATCCATGTTTAATGGTCTTGGGCCAAGGGCAGCATCTATGTTTTCCCTCTAAAACATTATAAGCATAATAATTTTTTGTGGAAATAATATTTTCCCAGGAGAAATTTAGGGAAAGATAGGAGGGAATTTTCTTTAGAGCTTTGAAACCAAACCTGGGATTGCTAATCAATCCTCCTATGTCTCCAGAAATAACATCCTGCAAATTGTCAAATGTGGTAGAAATCACACTTTGGGTACAGTCAGAGTGCAGAACTGACGTGTTTTTTAACTGCATGGTGTTTGGATCCTGTGACACAGAATTGCACCAGGTGAGATTTCAGCATGTTACAGTCCACTGCAGATGGATCTTGCAAAAGCAGGGGTTGAGGGTGCCTGGCTGCAGTGGATTAATGCAACAGCAGGTCTGCAGCTCCTCATGTGACTTTTTGGAGTCGCTCTCCTGTCGGTCTGAGGCTCTCACAGCTGAAACTCTTCTGGCCTTGCAGCACCCTTGTGCTACCCACCATCTCTGCACTAGGTCCTCAGCCCTGGAAAGGCAGTACCGTGTCAGTCCCTTGCCCTTCCATGCTTTTGCAGGTTTTTTTTTTGGAACAGATTGCCATTTGTGTCAAGCTGTGTGGTTTTGTGACGTGTAGATAAATCATTTTGCTCGCGACCTGACCTTGGTCCCCAGCGGTAGGCACAGATGCATTAACTACTTCTTTCTGAAGTGGGCATCGTTCCCTTATTTTGGAAATGATTATTTAGCTCTGTTTCTTCAGTATTGCCTAAACTGCAATTTTCTTTTTATAAGATTCCGTTCTCAAGGGATCTCAGAGTGCCTCAGGAGCAGCTATATTTAGTTGCTCAGTAGTAATATGGATATACAAAGTATGGCATAAACAACCCTTTAACTTAGGAAACTTAGGAATTATTTTTCCTGCCTTCTTGGGGGAGTAGTGTTTTTATTCTTGTACCAATAGTACAGATGGAGAAAGCAAGACTCAGCGAGACCTCGTGACCCACTGAAGGTCAGTGGATGCTGGTAGTAATCTTGAGTGTCTTGGAACAAACTGTAACCACAGGAGGATGCTTAAATTTATGCAGCAGGTTAAGCAATAATGTAATGGTCCTCTTCAGGGATGTTCACTACTAAATTGTGGTGAGTCATCTATATTTAGCAGGATGCTACTATCATTGTGCTTTTTAAGTAAAGTGCTTTTAACACAGTTTATTTCAAGGAGAAGTGCATGCACTGAAAATCTGTTCTTTGTAGTTTCCTCCTTGTGGAGCACTAATGGTGCCTTCCCTTTTGTAAGTGTTCAGAGAAGAATTTAGCTCCTGGTTGTTTAACAGACAGCAGTGTAACAAAGACAGTTCTCTGGTTTTTACTACTTTGTGTTTGTACAGTTATTTATGAATATTACCTAATTGAGAGTCTCCAAACTTACTTTGTGAGGGCAGTCAGTTTGATTTACAGCATGGAAAACTGATGTGTGCAGAGATGAAATGATTTTCTTGCTGTCAGGTAGGACATTTGCCCAGCCTTTCCTTTAGAGAAGTCACAATTACAGGGCTTCTGGTCATATGCCTCCCTACTTTATTCTTACAACTGTTTCATGTCTTGTGCACCAGGGAGAAAGCGCAACTTTTTTTTTTTTTTTTTTTTTTTTTTTTTTTTTTTTTTTTCTTACAAGGTTTTATCTCTTTGGTTTTGGAGGTCACTTGTGTCCTGGCTTCTGCTTTTTTTTTCCCACTGCTTGAGCTGCGCTGCTCTGTTTCATATGGATTGAGGAATTTGGCTTCATTCTAAATGGAAGTAGAAGTCAAATGCTTTGATGGTTTTGAAAGGAAATTTTTGAGAGAAATTCCATCTTAGGACACTGATATTTTGTTTCTTTGTGGAGTTGTATTGTTATAATACAAGGAGGTACCCAAAGCAAAAAGATTCTTTGATGTGAAAAGTCAAAAATTTTCATCCTAAAGATGCTTAAATCGGATGTTTCTGTATTTTTGATTTTTTCCTTTCCTGTTTTTCTTTTGAAACACAGTTATGATTTTACAAAATCAAAACTTACCATGTTTGGTAAGTTTTGGTTTAGTGGAAGTAACTTCAGTGAAGCTTTAGTTGCTGCTTTTTATTTCTACAGGGTATTTAAAAAGAACTGTGATAAAAACCAACTTGCAGCAATTGGTGGTACCTGTGCACAGTCTCTGCCCATTATTTTGGCCATCTTGGCACATGTTTGCAAAAACTATGTACACATGTATGTGGCACTGCTCTTGTCCTTATTCATTGTGCTGTAGAGCATTGCACTGAAAAAGACAAGTTTCTATTTAAGAAATACAGCAGATATATATTTGTTAATATTTGTTTCCTCTTCTGGAACAGTCAGTGGAGAAATCAGAACAGGACTAGCAGGTTGAGCTCAGTCCTTTATTATTTGTGCATACGCAGAGCCACAGCTCTCCTCCTGGCAGCATAGCAGTACTTGTACATTTGCATCTCTGCATGAAGCTAATTTCAAGTGTAATTTTGCTATTAAGCTGATCATATCGCTTATTTAGGGACAAAAACTTGTGCAGTTATTTTCTCATAGTCTCATGAGCCAACCTAGCTATGAGAACATGAGCTTCTGCTTCACAAGCATCAGCAGGAGAAAGCCACTGTCTGAATTCTACTTGGTTACATCTGGGCTTTGATTTTACCAGGAATGCTGAAGGCAAGAGTGTTGTTTGTGGGGAGGCAATGACAGACACCCTGTTCACAATCTGTGGTGCATTTCTGCAGCAGCCTGTCTAAGCAGTCCTGGGCCAGGTCAGCCTGCTGGTCTCTGCTGCCATGGCCAAATCTAGATGCTCCCATGGGAGGTGTCAAAACCTCCTCAGTGAGAAACTGGTGCCAAACATTTATCAAAGAGGAGTCTGGTGTCATGTCTGTGCTACAGGTTGCCCTAGGAGTACACTGGTGTATGCATTGCTCTGGACTTCAATGCCTACAAAACCAATTTTAAGTACACTCCACTTCTGTCGGAATCTGAGGTATTGATGACTCCGAGATTGTAGAAAGTCTCTGTCTTTCTGCCCCGTTGCCAAAGAAGAAGCCATAATTCGTCTGTGCTGGTTTCAAGGTTGTTTATTCTTGCTTATCTCTAACATGTTCTGCTGCCCTGCCGCAGGTCTGTCCTGCAGGGCAGCGTGTGGGGCTCTGCCCTCAGTGGGATGTTACAAACATTATATACCAGAAACTACCTGTGCTGTATTTACAATAATGTGCCAATATCTGTCACCTACGTTGAACAGTGTGTCCCCAGCCTAAACCAACAGAAAAATGCCAACACTACAGTGAAACATGGAGGGCATGAAGAAGGAGAAAAAGGACAAGACACACCCAATTTCCTCCATCTTGTCCCCTCTGAACCCCTAATCTAGAATCCTAAAATTTTACTTTTGCACCCATGCCACACTTAATTATTACTCATATCAAACACTCAGAGCTTGTAATTCATCCTGTAAGATTGAAAACTCTTTTCCATGGACAGAGATCAGAGACAGTGTCTCTGGGGGCTCTGTACAGGGGGGTTCCTGACCCCCTGCCAGGGTCCCAGGCCTTCCAGGGCAGCCAGAGGGAAGCTCTGGATTCCCACACACTTCCTTGCCATAAGATGAATTAAGTCATATATGTTCCTTCTACCAATTCAGAGCAAATAAGGCATACATCTCCTCCATTCCTCAGGCAAGCCCCCCACTTACAAAGCAGCAGATGTAAACGTTTCCCCTTGCGAGGGGCCAGGTTGAGCTGGGCTAAGCGAGCCCCCTGGTGCTGTGTCCTCAGCTGGTGCCCAGCAGGCTGGGTGTGCCTGGACACACCATCCCCTCGACCTCCTGAGCAGAGGGGCTGTGGGTGGGCTGCAGGCTCAGCTCTCCCTCTGCCCAGCACAGGAACAGCCTCTGCCAGGAGCAAGTGGGCTGGCACCACCCTCTCTGCAGGCCCACTGCGGGGATTACTTCCTAATCCCCACTAATTAGAAATTGGCTAGTGCCTGGAAGCATGAGGGTATAGTGATGTTATGCTTTTTTCAGTCTACTTTTTGGGGGTTTTTTTGTTTGTTTGTTTGTTTTTTGTTTTTTTTTTTTTTTTTTTTTTTTTTGCTCTACCTAATGTATCTGTGGATGTTCCCAGTGTCCTTGTGAATGCATGGGCCTCTGTGATTTCTGCTGAGCTCTTGACTATAACATGGGCTAATCATTCCTGGTAGTTAATTATTGGCTGTGTTTAGAAGAAGCAGAAAAAGTAAAAACAGAAAAGGAAAATGACAATATTTTCCTTAAGTCTGGTCATGTTTCCTGCTCTTTAGTAATGCTGAACAACCATTCTTATTTTCCCTTTAAAAAACAAACAACAAACACAAAAAGCCCACAAGCAAACAAAACCCACAGAGCACCTGGTTCACTTCTTCATTCCCATTTGATAACTCCTCTCTATTTAACTCACCTCTGAGTTAAATTGTCCCAATTTTAACAGTGTTTGACCATTAAGTGTTTTTGACTGGTGAATGGCGAAACCTTTGTCTGCCTCCTGCATTTTCAAGTGTGCCATGCAGAAGTAACCATAACAATTCCAGCTGTGAGTGCACTTTCAGTGTTCATGGTGGCATTAGAATACTTCCAGCATCCTTCTTTTCAGCCTCTGCCTTTAGACACCCTGACAGCTTGCTTGCTTCTTTGACCACCGCTGTATGTTGAACAGATGTTTTCATTGAGCCGTTCACAGTGATACCAAGATATTTTTCTCAAGTGATTACTTTTGAATTAGAGCCCCATGGTATACAAGTAGTTCAGATTATTCTCTCAAGTTCTTATTACTGTCTGTTTGGTAATGTTGAATTTCATCCTGCATTATGCTGCCCACTTGCTGAGCTTTGTCAGATCCCTTGGAAGTCTCTCTCAATCTTCTTTTGTCTCAGCCAGCCCAAATCACTTTGCCAGCTTCCTGTCTCTCTTCCAGATATTAAGGAATAGATTAAACCACCCCAGAACTGGTTAGAAACCTGGGGGTAATCCCTTGTAATCAGGGCCAGAGCAAGGACAGGGGCAGAGGAGCTCTCACGCCTCTGAGCCTGGGCACTGAGGAGTGGGGCAGCAGCTCCAGACTCAGCCTGACCTCAGCTGGCCTCAACCCCACTGGGGACAAGGCAAGGGGAGGAGTTCCCACGCCAGGCAAGCAGGGGACAGGTCTGCCACTGAACTGGCATCCTGCCCAGAAGAGTTTAGCAGGTGCTCTTTGAAGTGACAGAAAATTAATTACTTCATCCTGTCTTTTTCCTTCCAAAATTAGAGTGGATTGCAGGGCCACAAGTTCCCCTGAGCAGAGATCAAGCTGGTTTGTCTCCTGTTGTGTACTTTTATGGGCTTAGGGTACTGGGCTGCTTTAACCAAGCCCTGCTGACACTTCCAGGTTAGCCTGTAGCCTCCCTTATGAAGAGCACGCCAGCTTCAAGAACCACCTGACCTAGTAAGAGTTTGCTTGTCTTTGCTAATAACAGCCACTTGAGAAATGTCTTTCTTCAACTGTTCGGCACTTCTGGACTTATCTCAGTACATAAATGTACTGAAATGATTGGGTTTTGACTTTTGCACTTGGCCTTCAGTTTTTCTTTCAGTCCTATCTATTATTTTATGAAGCAATTGTTTAGACTGAATCACTTCTTGTTTCTGTTGTTTGGCCATACAATGTGCTCTCTTGCTTCTCAGCAGTTTTTTGTTTAGGACACTGAGTACATTTTCAGTGATGATGCTGAGATTGCTTCAACACACCACCATACAGTGTAACAATTTTAGTTCCCCTGCTTTTGGAGTTAGGCTGTTTGTACCCTTTCTGCTTCTAATTGTTTTTTCTAACTTGTAAGAGGCACAATGCAGAATTCAGCTACTGTATTTCTCACAGGGATGTTAAATTTGATTGTGTAGCAGTCACTGTGTCTTTAGATCATTTGCAGGGTTTTTAGCTTCTAAGTGTGCTGGGACAGGTTGTTCCAAGTCCGACCTCCACTTTTAGATGCTGCAGAATTGTAGCCTGCTGTGACTCTTAGCCAATTCCTGCACATCTTGCTGAAGTCACTATTTTTTTCTGTTTTCTTTGACTTTGTTCCTTTGCTCTCCCTCCACACCATGGAGTAGATATTCTTTACCTGATCAGGAGGCCATTGGGACATACAGGTTGCTTTAGTGAAATTTGTTTTTTAGTTAACTTTTCTCCCTCTTCAGCCTTAGCTATCTAGATGAGATTTGTGTATCACCCATCTTGCAGTTTGGTATCTCTGCCTCTTTACCCACACTGTATTTCCATGCAGGGTATGAGTCCGTGATGAATTCTGCAGCTGTGGACACACAGACTGCAAGGCATGTTGGACACTGTGTTGGTTGATATGGCTGTATAAAGAGGTTGTTGCATCATGTTCTAGGGGCTGGTTCCCTGCATTGAACCTGAAGTGCTTCTTGGAGTTTTTACTCCAGCTGCTCTGACCTGTACTCCCACATGTGGTCTAGCTGCGCTCTGAAATGTTTGGTTTGGAGGTGGTATCTCAGCAAATGCAGCCCTGCTTCTTGGTTAAAGGGTCCCTGGGAGCTCCTGAAAGGAATGCATCACTCACTCTGCTGCCTCTCACTGCCTGTGCCAGTGAAGGGGGCCTGGGGAAGGAGACAGGGATGGGTGGAAGATGGGTTGCTTTAGTGAAGCAGAAGGTGATGGAGAGCTTCTGCAGGGCACTGCTGAGCTTCTGTGATTTCTGGGCTGCTTCCATGACTAACTGAGTGGTTGATTCTTCACTGTTTAATGGGGTTTGTTATCTGAACGTTGTTACTTGTTATCTTCATTGGTTGTGGAGCTGCTTGTGTACAGACCTGCTTGGCTTTCTGGCTGTGTGAGCCAGTGACTCGGCGAGGTTGGGAGGACCTTGGCTACTTGGCAGAGGGACAGAATGGCCTCAGTCTGTCTGCAGAATCGTCATGTCCTTGGCTTGTCAAGGACAGCCCTTCCTTTTGCCCCTGAAACAGCTGCTGTGCCCTGGGCCTTTATTACTGGACTCATCCGCAATCAGCGCCTCCCCTCCTGTGCTGGAAATGCCTGGGACACGGGGAGCAGGCTCGTGTGCCTCAGCTGCACCGAGCTGCAGCGAGGCTGTGCTTTGCTTCTTCTTTGGGGAATGCTCCGTGCTAGCTCTCCTGTAGCTTTTTTGCATAGTTTCATCTGTTCTTGCAGCTCTCGCCCTTATTCCCAGTGGCTGTTTTCCCTTTTTTTTTTCTTTTTTTTTTTTTTTTTTTTCTTTTGCAAGACTTCATTTCAGCTGCCACATTGACAGCAGTTGTCTGTTTATGCACAGAATAGGTACAGCACAGGCAGGCTTCAGGCTTCCCCACCCCCTTGGTCCCCATCCTCCTGCCCTCCTGCACTGCATCCCCCGTGCCCCGCAGCATCACCCTGAGCCAGAGGGCTCACAGCGAGGTGAAGGGGGGAGCTGAGGCATCCATCCCACCGCCACCGGCTTGTGTTGCATCCTAATTGCAAATAGCCCTTCCGGCGTCAGCAGTTTGTGGCAATAATTGACAGGAGGTGCCGGCGAGGTGCTGAGTCAGAGCGAGGTGTGCTTGCCAAGTCACTGCAGCAGAAGGAGCCCGATCGCCTCGTGTGGAGGGATGCCAGTGGACGGTGGGTTTCCTAGCTGCCTTTTGGGCCTCTTTCTTTCCTTTCTCGGAGGCTGCAATTCAGCAGCAGTGATGCTATGCATGTAAGGGAAAAAAACAGGGGATCGGGGGAGTTCTTTATTTTTTGCTTTTTCTTTTTTTTTTTTTTTTTTTTTTTTTTTTTTGGCGGTGAGCACTGGGATTAGGGGATGTGGGCTCCATTCCCACCTGCTGCCACTGGGTTTCTGTGCTGTCATTTCTGTGCTCCGAGCAAGCAGAAGGGGTGGAGAACACATGTTGGGGGATAGTGTCGAGAGAGTGGCCCTAGTGACAGATTGATGTCTCCTGGGAGAGGAAGAGCAGCATGTGACATCCTCAGCTGGGCAAGGGGGATAACTATGCAAGCCAAAAAAGCTGCAAAATAAAATTACTGAAAAGGTGTTCTGTCCTGTCCTTCCTGAGGGTTGTTTCTGCTGCAGTGTCCTACTATTTATTTAGGGGTTTGAAATTACTCGTTTGGCATGCAGGAAGATGAGTGCTTGTCCTGTGTACATCTAGCACCTGATGGACCTCCAGGTCAGCCTCCTGAGAGCTTTGTCATTTATTCCTGACCTTCTTGAATATGGCTAACGTCAATGTTTATACCACAGCTGAATCTTTCCCAGAGGTCTGGAGTCTTTCCTTTTTCTTGCTTCAGGGTGACTTCAGTTGTCTTTGTTTTTCTCCCTCTCTGTAGCGCCGGGTACCTTTTTCCTGCCTTGGACAAAAGTCAGTATTTGCTTCACAGTGATCTAAATATATGTGTCTGCTGTGTGGTGCCTTTGTAAGGAGAGCATACTATTTTTGCTTTTAGTAACCACTTTGTGGAAAGAGATGAGGAGCATGAAGACAGAGGCCCATGTATTTTTCAGAACCCTTCCTATCTATGCTGCGCTCTGCCCACCCACTTTTTTAATGCTAATCCTTGTATAATCTTTCTCTTCACTGACTCAGGTAACAGCCATATTATCTAGATCACCATGCAGCTGATGGGGAGAACTGCAGCCCCGAGATGGGAAGTGCCTTTGCCATGGTCATGCAGGACTCCCAAGGCCAACCTGGGGTTGGAGCCTGCATCTCCTGACTGCCAGCCTGTGCCTTCTCCACTGGACAACGATACCTGTCCACTGACTTAATCAGTGGCCTGCTGAATACTTTTCCTCTTGAGTTTTTGTGGCAGTGGCTCATGGGTGGTTATCGATTCTGAGTCTTTAGACAAAATCTGCAGCGACTAAATCAAATGCAGCTCTTCCCTCATCCTTGTCTTGACCACCTTCATGAGGAGTATTTTGCACTGGACCCCCAGAGGGGTGGCCCTGTGGTCACAGGTGAGGGGACTGTGTGTGCCAGGTATCTGTCCTCCTCGCCTCCAGTTTGCTGCCTGTTCAATTGCTGGGGGCACTGTGACACTGGTGGCAATCTCAAACAATCTGTGCCTTGAGGATGCTTTGGAGGAAATCTTTCCCAACTGGGTTCTGCTGTAGGATCAGCCAGGGCTGATCAGGATCAGATCAGGGCTGGTTTGGGAGGCCCAGGAAGGTCCGAGCCATAATTGTCCTGCATTCAAGTTGTGTTTCTGTGTGAGTTTTGCCCTGCATGGTGGAGATGTGCTAGCCAGGGCTCTCCTACAGAGAAGAGTGAGTCTGGTCCTCAGGCATTGTGAAGTATTTTCTTCATTGCTTAAGGGAACCATGGTCTCCATATGGTCTACTGCAGCCCTTCTTCCTTATCCACTACCTATGGTGTGGCTTCACCCTGAAAACAGAAAAAAATAGAGCATTGTCTGTTGCAATTGGGATTTTTTAAGATACCTGTGGGAATTAAGCACACAATTCCCTCAGGTTCTTTTTAAACAGCCTGGCTGATGTGAATTTATGTTGGCAATAAGCTAGAGTGGAAGCAGTCCTGTCAGCAGAGCCATTGCTATTCTCCCTCTGTTTGATGTAGAAACTGCTGTGGTAAAGCTTATTTAGCTTTGAGGTCTGTGTGTCAGCACCTGGGACCAGAGCCTACAAGAGGTCTCTGATGTGAGTGGACCCCATGCTTTTGCCTCCTCTGAGGGTCTTTTCAAGCACTCAGAAGTTCAGTGGAAATACCAGTGTGTAACAGCACCGTGTGTAGGGCTGCTGTGCTGGACAAATGCACCTGACATCCACTGGGCCAAGGACTGGGCCTGCTATGAGTCAGTCAGGATGATGAAACTCTGCCAAACCAACTCTTCTTTCCTTTCCAAGCGGTAAAAATGTGCATGGATGGTGAGGAGGAGCATTTAATTGCAACTCACTGCAATAGAATTTGCCTAGGAGATAACTGAGAGATTCTTCTGACAACTGCAAGAATCCTTTTTTATTCTTTTATCCATAACCAAAGAAGGACAACTTGTATCAGTTTTCCACAAATGGAGAAATTCAGTGACAATCGTCGTACTTTTAATTAAAAATAAACAGTTATGATATAAAACAATTGCTGGAGATCAAACAAGTTGTGGAATATAGCTGTCACTTAGAACAAATCAGGACACAAATAAGAAGAAAAAGCTGCCTTCATCCTTGGTTACGAGTGAGAATCCTTTCTGGGATTTTGTTTTTGTGGCTAAAATTAATTTCACAGTGTAATTTAGGTTTCTTTTTGGAATTTGTTCCTCTGGCCATATAGCCAGGACACAGCTGGCAGCTTCTCTTGCAGCTGCAGGAGGAGAAAAGTGATTCAGGTGGGGATGCTGCTGACCCTGTGATCCAGTGCAGAGCCAGTGGGTCCCAGAAGGCGAGACTGTTGTCTCCTGCCAGTGATCTGCTTCCAGCTTCCCCTCACCCCTTTCACCTTTATGAAAATACTCAGTGTGTGGCTCGATGGACACAAAGGAGTGTCCACCTTTCGTTGTGAATTTATGTGAGATGGGCCCAAGTTGTGGAAATCTCATTAAATTGGCGAACTGTGTAAGGCTTCCATTCATTTTGGCTTTGCTCAGAACACAGTTTGCATTATTCTTTCAGATTTGAAGAGTTATTCAGCCTTGGAGCTCAAAATCAACTTAGAGGCTAAAATCAGACTAGGACTCCTTAGCTTAGCTTTAAAAACAGAAACATATTACACTCCAAGTCCATTAAAGCCAAAAGGCTGTCTTAATGCATGTGTATATATATATAATATATATAATAATGCACATATAACTGTACAGTCAAAATAAAGCAGCACTGGGAAATGCATAAGTTAATAATGCCATGTTATGTATCCTGTATCATTTATGGCATGAATCCTGTATCTTTTATGGCATGAATTTTATAGTCTAAGTGGTAGTAAGATTAGAGGTAGGTGAATAATTTATAGCAAATAATTTATTTAATGAATTCCTCTTCCATTTCTATTTGAAAATTGTTTGTGAACATCCTGCGGTTTCTTTGCATTTTACTTATTTGAAGTTACTTACTGAATGGTTTCTACAAATAATATTTGACACGCCACATGCTCATAAGAAGGTTTGTTGTTTTTCTTTTTTTTAACAGTTTCCTAAGAGGGGGAGGAGCATTTCAGCTCCAGATTTGGTTGCTCAGCACTGATACAAAGTGAAAGTTCATGCCATATTATTTTACTATCCTGACAGCTCAAAGTAATGGCTAGAATTAAGCAGTTTCTGAAATGTATTAAAAATTATCTATTAATTTTTAATAATTTTTCAGACTGTTTGTGGGGATAGGCAAGCTCAAAACTCACTTTTGCTAGTGAGTGCTAAAATTGCTGAAAATGTGTTACTTCCCTGTACATTTACGTCACTAAATTAGAATAGCTGCAGAAATGAACAGAACGCTCTAAGGTCCACAGTCAGCAGTGTGCTGTGCATATGCCTGACTTCAGGCATATTCCTGAGTAGATGCATAAGTGGTAGAATGGCAAATTATGAGCTTCAGCATATGTTTAAGTGGTTTTCTGAATTAGGGACCAAAATAGAGAACAAAGCAAATTTATCTTTCATGAAAGTGAACATACAAGAGAATTCTGTTTCCTCATCTGCAATTACAGGGCACTCTTTTTCTGAGGGAGAGTGTGGGGGAGTGGTGATATAAATGTTGAATTAAGTTGCAGTATTTCTGATTTCATCAAATACAAGGCAGTTTATCTCAAGTTTCTCATACATGTCTCTGTGCTTCCCCCCCCCCCCCCCCCAAATACTGGAGGAAATAGCATGAAGAATTGAAAAACAAACAAACAAACAAACAAACAAAACCTCAGCCTTTAGTTTCAGTTTTTATTTATATCTTCATCTTTTAAGATTTCTCAGATTTCAGTACATTTGCCATGTACTTGGAAATATTAAATAATGCTCTACAAAAGTAATGCAAATAATGCATAACAGAAAGAAGAGCTTTCTCTGGATCTGCAAGGAATAGGTGTGAATTACTTCAGCATCTTAAAGAACAGTTGCAACAATGTCAGCTGCTGAGGGTCTATATTTTTGTGAGCAACTTTTGTGGAAAGCAGCTTTGAAGCTGCGTGAGACACCCTTCAGCTCTGTAACACAGGTGATGCTTCGGTGGCCTGCCTGAGGGCACAGTTAAATAGTTGTTTTTTTGGGTCTGTGAACCAGTGGGACCTCATATTCTTCCTGTTTGTGTCTTTGGGCTGACCTGTGTGGGTTCTCTTAGGTGTAGTAGAGGGTGGAGCATGGCAGTGAGTACTTCACCTGTACCTGTCCACCTAATGCCATGAATGTTATGAAGATAAAATTAACATGTTTAAGGCCTTTGCTCTTCTGTCAGAGGAGGGGTGGGTGCAGGGGCCTTGTGTCCCAAGGCAACAAATGCTTCTGAGCCACAGGGCCCATGGACTTAGTGAGCTGGTACTTCTGAGCTAGCAGAAGAGCACAGACAGTTCAGGAGAGGGTGGTCTGGGAAGCTGGGAGGAGAAAGAGCCATCTCTTGGTGATGTTTGGGATGCAACTGAAGAAATAGGCAGTCAGTTTTGGGTGAGGAAGAGGGATTGTCCCTGCTG